TATTATATTTTTTTATTATTTTACTTCTTTTTTTTTTTTTTTTGGTAAAAGAAGAGCAACACGAAGCAATTACCAACCACGGTGGTTGATAGATGAAAATTGGGAAAAATTTAAAACTAGTCCCGCAGGTATATGTGGTGATATTTTTGGTCCCAACGGAATGTAAAAAAAATAAAAATAGTCCCACAACTTTTAAAAAACGATCAAAAGTAGGACTTTTTGTCGGATTTTACTGTTTTCGGCGCAGAATGCCACGTGGCGCACACGTGGCATATATTTTTTATACGCTGGCATCCGACGTGGATATGAAAAAAATTAAAACTAGTCCCACAGGTATAGGGAGGTGACATTTTTGGTCCCACAGGTATAGGGAGGTGACATTTTTGGTCCCACAAGTATGCATAAAATATACAACAAAATATGCCACATGTGCGCCACGTGGCATTCTGGGCCGGAAACAGTAAACTCCGGCAAAAAGTTCTACTTTTGATCATTTTTTAAATGTTGTGGGACTATTTATTTTTTTTGCATTCCGTCGGGATCAAAATTGTCATCCCCTATACCTGTAGGACTAATTTTGAATTTTTCCCCATGAAAATTTTATTTCCCCCAACTTACGAACAACCGTCATCCAAATTTTTCTAAACCTAATTCACAACTTTCATTAGCTGCTAGCCTGCTATAAAACCCATTCCAAATATCTTTTTTATCCCAGTTTTTTTTTTTTTTTTTTTTCACATCTTAACAAATTTTGTACTCATATTCTCTTCTTTGTTTCTTCACTTCAAGAAGTCCACGTCAATTTTCCTTTTACCACAAATTTGGTACCACCAAAAGTGACCGACGAAAGTGCCATCTTTCTCTCTTCTCGCACGTTGGCAGAGTATCAATTGCAGCAGATGATGTCGTTGAGACTGTTTCATCATTTCATTTATGTTTTTTTATTTTTTTATTTTTTATTTTTGGATCGGTATTGTAAACATATCATTCTTGATTTAGCTCTTGATTGAGAGATATTAAAAACTAGATTAATGTGTAATTTTATATTTTTCGTGTTCCTATTTTTTCTATTTCGATATTAAAAACTAGATTAATGTGTAATTTTATTTTTTTCGTGTACCTATTTTTTTTGTTTCTTCTTTATTACTGTAAGGGGAGTTTACTTTGGAGGACTGGGATAGGATAAAGGAAATAATCCCGGATATCTCGCGTTTACTCTGCGGGAAATGGATAGTATTAGACTGACCTGGCGCCCACGTGGCACGCACTTATCAGCTAAAATCGGACAAAAAAATCCCGCGTCCCCCACCTGATATTTTTATCCCGTATTTATCCTACCTATTTTACCCTCAAATTTTTGTGTAAATGGACAAAAATACCCCTTATTTTCGCAGAATTTACAATTTTATTACAAATAAAATTGAAACATCAGGCATTTGCCCTAGGTGCAGATTGAAAGCTACGACGCCATTGTTGCTGCGAGGTTGAAGCTTTCGAATCGTAAGGTGGGCTCCTCTCTTGTTTCTACTCTCATTTTCAATTTCGATTTCATTCGATTTTCCGCAACATTCGGGGAACACAAAATTGAAGACGAGCAATTTGGCCTATGTTTTGCAGAAACGAAGAAAAGCAATTTGCCCTAGCTTCGGATTCTCCGTCGCCTCTATAGGTGAGCTCCAGTATCGCCATTTTACCTTCTGAAATTTGATTTTCCATGCGTACATCGATTTGAAAAATCGGCCATTTTGCCCTATTTGCAGGGAGATCGTCGCCATTGTTACATAATAGGCTTGAGCTTCGGTTTTTCCTTCGTCCTGTAGGTGAGTTAACTTTTAATCGCCATTACTTCACTTTTTTTTTAAAAAAAATTGATTTATTTGGCCATTTTTGTTGTAAAATCGAGCATTGAAGAACCCTAGTTACTGCAGAAACGAAGACGCCATTCTCGTCAAGGTGTAGGCTTCGAATCCTCCATCGGTCCTAAAGGTGAGCTCAACAATCGCCACAATAACCTTTTCAGTTTCAATTTATGTCCACTGTTCTGAAATGTTATTTTGGGTTCTTTTTTTTTTTCGAAATGTTTGTTTCTCTACAGCTGTGAGCTTTGTCTCCCTCACCTGTAAGGTAAATACTCTAACCTTCTGAGTATTGATTATATGTGGTTCATGGTCTCTGTTTGTTGTGGTACAGTATTGATGACTCGTTTGTTTTAATTTGTATATTGTTATGCTTTCAGTTGTGATTGTTGTGATTGTTGTGCTTTGCTTTAATTTGTACATTATTATGCTTCCAGTTGTGACCTCTCTATATCTATATGTTGGTAGTTCTGAAAATGTGAAAAGGCAAATGCCTATAAATGCTGTTTTATGGATCCTAAGTTCATTGTTGGTGAGAATTGTTGTGGCACTTGTCTGTGTATCCTTGCACAGAACTTATTTCAATTGTGACTGTTTTAGCTAGTCCATTGATTTGTAATTGGTTTCATTTGCTTAATTGTGCTTAATTTGTTCTAATTGTGTTTGGTACAAAATGAAGTCAAATATATAAAAGCATGCTTTGTTTTAATTATTTTGTTAACTGATATGTCATTTACTATGCTTTGTCTTCAATAATTAACTGATATGTCATTTATTATGCTTTGTCTTCAGTAATGACATACATCACATTGAGTGGCATGATTGAATGTCTCAGTATAAGATCCAATGGATTTAAACTTGCTATATTTGATCTTATGCACTGTAATCTATGGGGACCTTTTGTTGTTACATCACATTCTGGACCTTTTTATATTACAAAGTGGCTAGAGCTGTCATGTTTCATGCTTCATTGCCCTTATCTTTCTGGCTTGATTGCATACTAGGTGCTGCTCATATCATTAATAGAGCACCTTCTTCTGTTTGGAACAAAATGTCTCTTTATGAACTGCTTTACAAGAAACCACCTTCATATGGTCACTAAAGAGTTCTTTGGTTGCCTCTAGGTTGCATCTGGGACATGACACTATCCTTGCTTGATTTGATCTATTTCAGCCACCAAATTTCATTCTTGAGCATTCTGACTGTGGTTAAAGTTGAAGTTAAAACATAAATGCATGTTGTTTGGTTCAGTTTCATTTTGTTGTGAACTTGTTGATTGTGGTAAGGTGCTGCATAATTTTCAGAGGTTATTTTTGTTTAAAAGCTAACTTAGGTAATAGAACCTGTTTTTCATATAACCATGTCTAAACCTAATAAAAATTGTTAAATGCACAAGATGTCTAGCTGTTAAATGCCTTGTATTTTAGCTATTTGTCTACATCTCTATCTGTCTGTTTATGCCTTTTTTTGTTTATGATTTTGAGACTGCTAGTATTCAGTCAAATGCCACTATTTGAGCTGTGAATAAATGTTTAAATTTCTAGTGCTTCCTTATTCTGCCGACTGCCAGTTGCAATGCCAAAGACTAATGACAAACTATTTCAGATATGTTTTAAAAGAACCTGTCAAATAAAACATGCCTTGTTTGTTTATGATTTTAAAAGAGCATAGGTTTTAAAAGAACCTGTCAAATAAAACATGCCTTCTTTTGTTTCAATGCTAGTATAAAACATGCCTTGTAAGGGTTCTTTTGTTTGCCTTGTTTATCATTTGTGGAGAATGCATAAAATATCTAGCTGTTAAATGCCTTGTATTTTAGCTGTTTGTCTAAATCTCTATCTATCTGTTTATGCCTTGTATGTCTATGATTTTGAGGCTGCTAGTATTCAGTCAAATGCCACTATTTTAGTTGTGAAAAAATGTTTAAATTTCTAGAGCTTCCTTATTCTGCCGACTGCCAGTTGCAAAGCCAAAGCCTAATGACAAACTATTGCAGCTGTGAAAAGTAAGTACAGGAAATATGCTAAATAATAACACTAAACAAACCTTACCATGAATGAAATCAACAACCTGACATATATCTACTAGTGATGGAGCAAAGAGGTAATCTCTTCTGGGAAGAACCAAGTGATGTATATCATCAGCCTATACAATTAAGAGCCACCACTCAATTTCTTGCATGCCTTAACTTGTTAAGTTTTTAGAGAAAAAAGAAGAAAAGCATGTTGTAGTGTTGGCATCTTTTTGTTGATAAAGATAAGCATGAGCTTTTTTTTTTTTTTTTTTTTTTTTTTTTTTTTTTTTTTTTTTTTTTTTTTTTTTTTTTTTTTTTTTTTTTTATCAATTGCCTTGTTTTGGATACATGAGTTCTTCAAAGGTTATAAATATTTGTATTGATAAGGGGTTAATTAGTATGCTTTACTTTTTTTTTAGTGCCTGTTATGTGTTGTACGTTCTCTTTTGGTTGTTTCTTTTCATCGGAGTAAGTGTAGTAAGTTTGGTCGTATGTTGTTCAATCTTTGTAGATGGATAACGTGCGAGACAAATGACTAATTCTCACTCTTTTGAAAAAGATTGTTCTTGGTGCTCGTTTTTTTTCATAGTAGCTAGTTACTACTACCACAAATTCATACTCCCTCGCCGCCGTCGACCTTCGTTGACTAGCGGACTCACATACCGATTGAGGGATAGAGTGCCCCTTCAGGTGAGTCATATGCAAAGGCTAGTCGACGTCAGCGACACCACTTGCCTTGAGAACCTCCGTATGGACAGAAACTATTTTGGTCGCCTTTGTTTCCTCCTTGAAAATTTAGGGGGTCTTGTTCAATCTAGAAACGTTGCTCCGAGTGAACAAGTTGCCATGATTCTTTCAATCCTCGCACATCACAAGAAGAACGTCACCTTGAAGTTTGATTTTACGAGATTAGGTAGAACCGTAAGCAAGTACTTTAACCGTGTACTTGATGCGGTAATCCGCCTTCACACCGTCCTAGTCGCCACACCTAATCCAGTTGAGGATGATTGTTCAGATGCACGGTGGAAATGGTTCAAGGTAGCCTACAACACAAGACCCTTACCAACCCTTAGTCAAGTTTTTCTTATCTACTCCTTCCAAAACTAATACTATAATTTTTTTTTTCATAGGGATGTCTAGGAGCACTAGATGGTACATACATTAACGTCCGAGTCCCATCGAAAGATAGGGGAAGATATAGGAATCGAAAGGGTCAAGTATCAGTTAATGTACTTGGGGTATGCGATAGAAATATGAACTTCGTCTACATGCTTTGTGGATGGGAGGGGTCTGCTGCTGATAATCGAGTACTAAGAGATGCAATCACTAGGGCAAATTCTCTTCGAGTCCCAAATGGTATTCCCTCACTTTTTTAGTATATAATAATAGTGTAAACAACATCCACCCGTAAGACACTAAATCAAACATAACACAATCGTTTATAATGCAGGACAATATTATTTGGTGGATGGTGGTTACACTAATGTTTTTGGCTTTCTATTGCCATATAGGGGTGTCAGATATCACTTAGATGAATGGGATACAGGGTCCCGTACTCCACAAAACTTTAGAGAACTCTACAACCTTCGGCACACCAAAGCTAGGAACGCGATTGAACGTGCTTTTGGCATTCTAAAAATGCGTTGGGCAATTCTTAGGAGTAACTCTTTTTACCCCATTAGGACCCAAAATCACATTATCATGGCATGCGAGCTTATTCATAATTTTATACGTACAACAATGCCCGATGACCCCATCGTGAACGAGATTCCAGAATTCCCGATACCTTCCAACCCACCGTCTGACGACGACTACATAGATCAAGTTGAAAGTAGTCCCGAATGGACCCAGAAGCGCGATATCCTTGCCCAACAAATGTTCACAGAATGGCAGGGCGGTGTTCCCTAATAGATAAACAAACTTATCTTTGTGTACTTTCATAAGACTCTGTTAGTTACTAAGTATGTGTGACAAATATTTTTAAATTATCTTTTGTTGTTTATTATACAATATTAATGTTGTTGAATATGTTGTTATGGTGATTATTGACATTAAATAATGTTGTTTTTGTGTATTTCCTGTATATTTTCTTATGTAGTATATCATTTTGTTTGACGACATTTTTTTAGATACTTTTATTTGTACATTCTCTATTAACCCAAAATAAAAATAATAAAAAATATTGCTACAACATTATTGTTCCTACAGCAAAATTATCATGGAACCATCAATGACATCGGGTACCGGAAAAGAGGGCGGCGCAATCTCTAAACGCCGTGTGTGGACATCGGCTGAAGAGAATGCTCTAGTTAATGCTCTAAAGGATATTGTAACCGAGGGGTGGAAAACAGAAAACGGCTTCAGAACTGGCTATGCATTTCAGTTGGAAAAAAAGATGAAGACATATCTTCCCGGATGTGAAATTCGTGCTGACCCGCACATAACTTCCAAAATGCATGTTTGGAAGAAAACATATGCGAGTTTGGCCAATATCAAAGCAAATAAATCGGGTTTGGGATGGAATGATGTTTCAAAAAGCTTCTCCTGTGATGATGATAGGTACCAATCGTTGATGAAGGTTTGCTTAAAATTCCAACTTTGAGTCGTCTATATATTTCACATAATTTACATATTCTCATTACATTCTTTTTTTTGCGTCCCAACCTATCGCCAATAGGTTGATCCTAATGCGAAGGGACTGAGGAACAAGTCTTTCCCCCACTTCGATGATTGGGAGGTCATCTTCGGGAAAGACAGGGCATGTGGTGGTGATGCCCAGTCTTTCGCAGACGCGGCGCAGGATGTACAGTAAGACCCGCCGTACGAAGAATACGATGAGATCCCTTCGCAGACCACACAGTCCACCCATGGCCTGGGCAATGATGCCGGTTAGTCGTCGGGAACGGCATCTGAAAGTAATTCCAAGAGAGGGGGAAGACGAGGGGCACAAAAAGGAGGTCCGCACACTTGGTGGACGATCGTTTCATCGATGTCATGGAGACTTTCTCGCTGAACACGGATGGCCGGTTGGCCGAAATCAGTGCCAGACTGGGCAACGAGCAAGTGGCACAGGCTCAGGCGACGCAGGCTCAAATGGGTGAAGTAATGGATGCTCTTCGGACTTTCAACTTTCTATCCGGTGAGGAGCGAATGGTGATATGCCTGCGTTTATGCAACAATGTGAGGGAGCTTGCTATGTTTTTGGGCATGGGGGAAGAGGATAGAGCACTCATGGTGAGGGTCATCCGCGATGGTCGGGGGTAGTGTTGCTAATGGGAAATCGTTGTGTCTCGTTATGTTTTCCTTTTCTTGTGAACGATGTGAATTGTTATTTTTGGTTTTGTGGTTTTGTGGTTGTTGCGACATGTGTTTTGTGGTTTTGTTGAGATTTATGAATGTGTTTGCAGTTTTGTTGTCCTTATCCGGTGTGGTTTTGTTGGGATTTATGAATGTGTTTGTGGTTTTTGGGACATGACCAATGAACTGTTATTTTTTTTATTAGAATGGTGACCACGTATTGTTAGAATTTTTTTTTTTCTGTTTTTGTTCAACTTATTTATTTTATTTATTTTCTTTAAATTGTTATTTTCTTTATTTTTCTTTATCCTATATCGCTCTTGCAGGGTCACTATGGCTACATACAATGAAAGCCCGCCATGGGGGTGTTTCTACGTATATATGGACATGCTAGACTACCCCATCATGGTAAGTTCAACTTCATAACCTGAAAAAAACTAATGACAAGATGACACGCGAAAGAAAATAACTTCAAGCCTGAAAAAAACAAAGGGAAAAATACATGCGGACAAACTGTAAGAAAAAAATTTCAAAACCTAAAAAAAAATTAATGACAAGATCAAGTATGAACTTTCGTAGGGCATTGAGGAAGCGGAATGTTACTTTGGGAGACACGTTATGCCTTTTCCAGTTACTCTCGTAACTGTCGAAGGCCGTTGCTACCCAATAAACATCTACAAAATTCGAGGTCCAAATGTCTACGATCCAAGGGTTAGTTTGCATTTTGCAAATAGGTGCCAACGTTACGTTCAATCGGAGTATATACGTCAGGGGTACTACTTGTATTTTGAACGGGATGAATTCAGAATATTTAATGTCAAGGTCTACACTTGTAATGATATAGAGAGGCCTCCACAAAACCGGTTTAGCATCAAAATAAAAAAAAAAAAAAAGAAAACTCACGTTGAGCATGCTCTTTTGGTAAGTGAATGCTTTCATATTTTACAATTACACTTTTCGACAACATTGTTGTTGTATAATTAATAAAATGTTATCTTGTTTAATATTATTTTTAATTTTTTGTGGTTGTAAAGCCCATACCAATGCAATTTTGGAACGCACATATTGAAGGATAGGTTCCAGAGATAGACCGTGCAGTGCTTATGTTCAAGGGAGATACATATTTGATGCATATAGATCGATCTCATGGTAAGAGGTGGCTGAAAGATGGCGATATGCGCCATTTCTTTGAAGAAAATGACGTTGAGGAGGATTCGGAGTGGGTATTTACATTGATTTCGTTTAGGTATCCTTGGTTTAGAGTGGTCAAAATTTGTGTGTAGCATGTATTTGAATGGCAAACTTTTGAACACTTTTCTATGTTGAATATTGGTATTTGGCGTGAAATGATGTAAGACGTGGGTGTTAGCATAATTCTAGGTTTATTAAGACATTTTTTATGGTTTATGTAACGCCCCACTTTTATTTGTCGAAAATCAGAATAAATTTTTTCGAATTTATTTCAAAACACTTTGAGGCGCTACTCATTTTCGAAACATTCATCAATATTCAACTACAATATCAATACTCAATCCATCATCAATCCTCATTCATCAATAATAACACCTCAATAATCAATTCCGAAATCCAATAATCACTATATCTTAGGGAGTACATTCCCTATCAATACTCCATCATTCAATAATCAAGAAAAACAATAATAACAATATTCAGTTTTCAAAAACGGAAGCAATAACAATATAAGACCACCACTCGCATTCCTCCGCCGTGCACGCAATACTAACCTGCATCCATGAAGAGCAGGTGGGGATGAGCACAAGAGGAAAAATAGTGCTCACCACTATGCAATAAATGTTAATCTCAATGATAAACCGTAATCAATAATCGAAAGGTATGGTCTCAGCATGTATACGAAGCATTAATCTATCCCAATCTCCCATCAATAATCAATAATCACTCTCATGTGCACACCTATATCAATAGACTACTGCCGGCTATATATCGAATGGCCCTTGGCCTCACATCGAGTGCTCGGCCAGTAGGAGTAAATCCACCCCGATGGCCCTTGGCCTTACACGAGGATCACCAGCCAAGGCTCACGCCCTGACTGCCAACAATAATAAAGGAGAATACCCATCGGGTACGTTCTATAGCTACGGGGATAACCGTTCGGTGGCCGATACAGCTCACACCGAAGGCTACATGATTCACATGCATACTTTGATCATACCACAATCAAACAATTAAAAACAGTAATAACATTTAAAGCATAGATAATTTTACAATTACAACCCACCTGGTATCGGTTGATAAAGCAATTAGTCAGAAGGTCGTAGGTGGTCGAGACACTGCTCTTCAGACACCTACATAAGTCAAGACAGTCCCATAAGCAACTATCTCGACTCTTGCACAGATAACGAGAATTATGCTTAGTCGAATAACATCGACTAAGGAACTCGTGGAAGTTGTGGAGTTGGAATATTAGGACGACTCCTAGACTCGACCAATTAATTACCAAATCAATTAATAAATCACATAAAAGCAGGCAATAAATGTTCGACACAAAATGGGGTCAAAACGGTTAAAAAGCTAGTTCGAATTTTATAAGAATAGGGCTAAGGGGAGTTGGACTTGGTTATTTCAATTCAAATTTTTACTGAGTGTTAAGGGCTGAAAAATACATATTTTCACCAAAGGAAAACCATTTAACATGCTCCTAACTATTTTAAATATTTTACTCAAAATCTGACCAGAAATCAAATCAAATCATTTAAAATAGCTACAGCTCGAATTTAAATCTCAAATTTTTACAGCAGCAAGATAAACTGGAGAACAACAACATATTCAAAAATTAGCAAAATCGGACAGGAACTCGATTTTATATGAATTTATTACGAAACAGCCCAGAATTAGTTTTCAAGTTTTGACAAGGCTACAGGCCATATAAAATTCTCAAATTTTAACCACAAGTACTACAATTGCAACATAACAACATATCCAAAAATCAGAATTTTTGGATAAACACACGATTTATAGTGATTTTAACAAAAACCGGCTGCAGCACGTTTTTCAAAAATTCATAACTAATTCAATACACATCGAAACGACGCGAGGCCAAAGGCGTTGCGTCAAGGACGATCCTAAGTCCAATAATCCACAGCACTTCCACATAAAATACTACTCGAAACTCAGTTCGATAATTTCAAAGTGACGGCAATCACTTTGATATCCAAATATCAAATATATATCAATAATTCACCCAAATTCAATTCTATGGCACGATTTAATACGAATATCTCACGTTCAGCAAATAACACATAAGTACGAGCACTTAAATACATATAGGAGCGAAAAATAAGTCGAGGGTTAGCCCGGGTACCGTTCTCGGGATGGGGTACGGAAAACGAGAGACGAAGGATCAAACGGGCTCGCTAATGGGATCACGGGACCTCCGGGACTGCATCAATCGAGCTCGGGACGTTTCGAATAACAGCAACTAATTCACACGAACAACAAGAACATGGCACGGGGCTGGTGGCGATGGAGCTCGCGGACAGCGGCGGCAATGTCTCGACGGAAGTTGCTGGTAGTGGCTCGCGAAAGGACAACAGTGACGGAAAGCTTCTCGATCAACAATGGCTAGACCTCCTGCTGCTGGTCGGATTTCGCTGGGGCTTGGCAGCAACGAACAGCGGCCGGATGTTCACGGACAGCAGGGCCGCGATTGGATAACGGGGCTCGCCGGCTACGTTTGACACTCCGACGGAACTCGACGGGACTCGACGTCCACGTTCGACATTCCGACGGGACTCGACGGGACCCGATGGAGGGCGACCAGAACTCGAGCGCAAGAAGGCCGCCGGACTGGTTCACCCGCCGAGGATGACAGTACGCGGACAGAGGAGACGGGGACGGTGATTTGAGGTCTCGACGGGACTTGCTGGTTGTGGCCATCGGAGGTGTAGCAGCGTTCGGTGGTCACCGGTGCTCTGATGTTCACGGAAGGAGGGCGATCGAGCCTTGGTCTCGGGCCTGATATTGAACAGAGGCAACGATGGTCGACGACTTGAACAATGATGATGGCGTTGGAGATGGCCTGCTGCGGGAAGGGTTCTCGCCGAAACAGGGCTCGCCAGAAGTTGGTCGTGAGGAACGCTCACGGAGCACAAGGGAATTGAGAGAAGTTCCTCTCTTTTCTGCGCGAACAACGAGAGAGAAGAGCAGATTAGAGAATGACTGCGGAATTTCCTTAGGGTCTGCGAACTGAGCAAAATGGGTTGAGACTTATCAAGAGTTAAATGGGCCGAACTCACTTGTAAT